TCTGATGAGGAGTCTAATTTTCTTTTCTTTTTCTTTTTCATTTTAGATAATAGATCCTCATAACAGAGTAGGGAGATAACAGCTCGGTTCAATAAATCTCCATCAGCAATTTTCACCATGCTCAATAAATGTATTTTAACCTAAAATAACATCCTGGACATACGTTTAAAGATAACATTCTTTATGATTAGAAAAGTAACTCACATTTATTATGAAGATTTTGGAAAATATAGAAATGCATGAAAGAAGAAATTAAAAGTTACTCATAATCCTACAACTCACTCTCTATTAATATTCTTTTCTCTCTCTCTCTTTTTTTTTTTTGTGAGGAAGATCAGCCCTGAGCTAACATCCATGCCAATCCTCCTCTATTTGCTGAGGAAGACTGGCCCTGAGCTATCATCCGGCCGATCTTCCTCCACTTTACGTGGGACGCCACCACAGCATGGCCTGACAAGCGTGCGTTGGTGCCCGCCCACGATCCGGACCCAGGCCACCAGCAGTGAAGTGCGTACACTTAACCGCTATGCCACGGGGCTGGACCCTCTATTAATATTTTTATACATATTCCTGGCCCCCCACATATATACATATATTCGTAAAATAGCAGGGATTTTTTTTTCTGCATGCACAATTGAGATTATGAAAAATATGTTATAATCTCATTTTAACATTGTGCATAGATTTGAAAAATGACCTGTTTTTAGATTTCTAATGAACACTTTGGTCACCAAATAAAGAGCTCAAACTCGGTAGTGGCCTGTCAGGAAAACTCTTAGGTAAATTTCAATATACCTACCTTTTTAGCAGGTATGTTGAAAATAACAGTCATTTTTTAACATATACACCAAACATTATTATAATGTCAATTTGCTCCATGAAATCTTGCAGGAAAGCTACAGGACAAGGTCAAGCTCATTATCACAAACTCTGTGTGATATTAATGATATATCTAAATATACTCTGAGAAAATGGGAGACTAATATTTATTGAGCACCTACTGTATGTCAGGCAGAGTGCTGAATATTTTGCAAAGATTGCTTCATACATGGCATCTGCAGGGTGAAAAATGAGGTATCTAATCTGTACCCATGAAACGTCAAAGAGATAATGTAGGTTTAAATTCCTGCAATTCTGGGAAGAAAAAGACAGAGGGTAGGTCACAAATATTTACATACACTGTTGAGTCAAGGTAAACTACATAACTCCTCTATTTTCTCTCGATTTTGAGTATGGAGGCATAGCCTTAGTGAATATTAACATTTTATCTTCTGTTGGGGGTAGACTTTTGCCTTATAAGAATGCAGTGCAATTTATTTTGCATAAAAGATATTCTGTGTGCTTCCACATCGGGATTGCTCCGAGCATGCCACTGCTTACTGTTGAGGAGTCTCTGCCTTCCACTGATCTATAGGTAATAGAAGACGCCTCCGGAATATATTTCCCTAAAGTTATAATAGGATATGCTATGGGCTCACATCACAAGTCATCTCAATGCAAAGTGGCAAGCCATTTACTGCAGAGCTACAGGAAATGCAAATTTGATCTGGTGTGTGACAAGTTGAGAGCTCTATTTTGTTGCCCACATTATAGAAATAGCTTGCTGTTTGCACATTGTTTTGGATAACCCCTTCACTGGGAAGTCTGACCTAAGGTGGCCACAGACATAATGCTGCTTTATGTTTGTGACTGTCCTAAGTAATGTATCCTCTACCTCACTAGGAAGAGAGTGACAAAGTCGCCCCATGTTCACGGGGCTAATGTCTTCGTTAGGAGGACACTGGTAGGATTTTTTTTTTATGTGAGTGTTTGTCTTCATTAAAGTTAACTTTTGCCCGAGAACAACTGAGGAACTTAGAATTATTTGATTTGTTAACACCTTGTTTTTGGTCTTCCCATTTATTATCTCTTTGGATCCTTACAACAGAACTCTGTAGTGGAGTTGTTTTTAGGATCATAGACTCTGGAACTAGCTAGTAAAGGGTTTGAATTCTAGCTTGCAGTGCCAGCTGTGATACTTTGGGCAAGGAATATAATTTGTCTAGGCATTGTTTTCTCCACTGGTAAAATGAGAATAATAATCACACTAAATTTATGAGGTTGTTATGAAGGTTAAGGCAATGCATATGAAATTGTTAGCACAACGTCTTACTCAAGGAATGAAGTCCTTAATAATCCTGCTAGGTGGGTGTGGCGAATACAAAGCAGAAAGACATCAAGAAGTTAAGTAAAACACTTGGCCTAAGGCCACATAGTTGCAGAACTGGAGTCAGATCCACCATTCCTATTTCAGTCTTCTTTTAAAGGCTGCTTCGCTTTCTTAATTAAACACACATGCCTATACGTAGCTGTTGACTTCTAAATGTGATGTTTTGTCCACAAATGTAATTACGGAGCATATACATTGCAACAGACATAGTGGTGAGGCAATGTTGCTATAACAATGGGGTTTATACACGCCCGGGCGCCCACACTTACGAGCACATACAAGCATGCATCTACATTCAGAAGGTGCTCCCTCACAGGAAACCTGAGACTCTTCGCACATATCTTGCTTCCAGTTATGATTCTGTCATAACTTGGGCATTTACTCAGAGTCTCAGCTTTCTCGCTAGTAAAAAAAGAAATAATATTACCTGATTTGTAGTGTTATTAAGATTAATCAAGATGCTGTAAGGAAATTCCTTAGCATGGAGCCTGGTGCAGAATAAATTCCTAATAAATGTTAGCTAATATCTTTATTGTTGCCCTTGCTGATGGTGCTGGCGCCGGTGGTGTTTATAGAGTCAGAAGGGGAAGATTTAAAAGTCTTTGTTGACCAGCCAATCTAAAAGCTGGCTATCTTATTTTCCTCATAGCTCTTATGAGTGTCTGACCTGATATTTCTTATTTATCATCTGTTTCCCCCCACTAGAATTACGTTCCACAAAGGAGGGAACCCAGGAGAGTGCTGGACACATAGCAAGTGTCACTTAAAAGTCTATAAATAAATTAATGAGTGGAGAAGAGGTTGAGAGCAATGGGAAAGAGGAAGGAAGTAACCTACACGAACAAAGAGGGAAGGAATGGCCTGTATTATTGATTTCTCACGTGAAGTTCTGCGTCCATCACCAATTAGCATTTGTTAAAAAGGAGCAGCTGCCCAGAGGAAGTCAGCTTAAGAAATCATGAATAATTTTGATAATAGAGCACAGGTAGTCTAGCAAGTGCCTTTTTCTTCACTGGGGGTAAGCATAACTCGTGTCAACAGACTTGTCTTTGATCCAAGTTTAGGTGAACTTCTATCCCTCAAACCTCCATGGGTATCACAGGCCAGCTGCTGAGATCCCATTTTCCTAACTGCCTCCCACAATTGGGGTTCAGAGTTTCAGTTCATCAAATTCAGTGCAGATGCCTTCAAAGATTGTGTCTGTGTGCACAAAGAAGGCTGCCGTATGCTTATGAGCATTCAGTGAGTTAAAACATGGGAAACAATTGCAATAATGAGTGGTACCCAGCAACAGCTCCATAAATGTTCCCTGTTGCTGTTATTATAATTATTAATATTTATTCAAAAAGAATTTATGGAGTACCTCTTATGTGCTTGTAGATGTTCTAGGCTCAAGATATTCAAAGACAGACTAAACAGATCAGATCTCTGCCTTCATGGATCTTATGATGTAGTGAGGGGTTCAGAAAATAAAGTTTAATATGTTGAGCAGAATAGTGAATGATTGTGCTGCCTAGATGGGTGGCTGTAGACTACGCTCTTGGTGAGGACAGGCCCCCATCTGGCGTAACACTGTCACTCCAGTATCTTGTGAAGAGCATAGTAGGCACTCAATTCATGTTGGATGAATAAATACATGAATGAGTGAATTTCTTAGAGGGGGCCCACTTTAATTTGGGCACTGCAGGTTCTGGGTTTAGGCTGTGTGTGCAGATGCCATGGAAGCTCTGCAATTTGTGGACTCTTGTGTTTATGTGGCAAAGTCTAGGTTAGTGCATCTGTGGGTGGATGTGGGGAAGCGGATGAGGTTGTGAGAACATGAATATGCATAAGTAAAATCTGTGTGTATGTGAGGTAACATGGAAGACAAAGTCTTTGGCTGTACATTTTTGAGGTAAATCTGGACCCGTGTGTGAGCCCAATGCAGGGTTCTGACTCAGGTAAACCTGGGCTTGAGTCAGTGTGTGAGGTATTAGCCAGAGGTTTGTTGTATGAGGATAGGGTATTAAGAGTATTTTGCAAGGCAAAATCTAGGCATGTGATCTGTAATGTATTTGTGTGTAAGGCAAATTAAGGGTGGGTAAAAGGCAAAATCAATGACAGTATATAGGAGATAAGAATGGGTTTAAGTGTAGATTTGTCTGAGTTACTTACAGGTTTTTGTGATTGCTAATGAAGAGAGTCTCTCTCTGTCTCTTTCTATGTCTTTGTCTCTCTCTGTCTCTCTGTGTATAAACCAATTCAGGTGTTCCTTGTGTGAGGGTGCAGGTTTGTGATGCAGATTCTAGAACTGGGAGCAATTGTGAGGGAGGCAATTCTAAGATTAATATGAAACAAGTCTGGGATTATGGGTAAGCAAAGTCTAGGATTGTGAGCATGGTAAATCTGAGTTGGTGTGTGTGTGTTGTAAATCAGGAGTTGGCTTTGAGATTAACACAGCCGAGCCAACTAGGTTTATGTGCATAAGTGGGGCAGATAGACTTGCGTTTGTGAGGCCAATACGGGAGTTAGTGTGGGTAAAGCAGGGTTTGTGTGCATGTGTGAGTGAGGCAAATTCTTGAGGGTGAATCTGGGGGTGGTTGGGCGAGCGGGAAGCGTGAGTGTGTGTGTGTGTTTCTGTGCACGCGCGCGCGCGCCAAGTTGGGATTTCTCCTTTCCATGGGCAACCAGGACGCGTAATCGTGCGAGGCCACGTTAGGGTCTGGGTGCGCGGGGAGGTGCGGGCGGGCGGGCGAGAGTCCCGGGAGCCGAGCGCGCCGCTGTTCCGGCCCCTGCGCCGCGCGCTCGCGGGCTCGCTGGGGACTGGCAGGAACCGGAGCAGCACTGCCGCCTCTGGCGCGAAGGCTCAGGCGCCTCCTCCCGCCCCAGTCACTGTGGCTCGGCGCACGCTGCCGGCGGCTGCCCTTTCCGCCTCTGGGGAAGAAAGCCCGCGGGCTGCTGTCGCGCTTGAACCATGGCCTCGGGCCGAAGGGGCTGGGACAGCTCCCATGAAGACGATCTGCCCGTGTACCTGGCCAGGCCGGGCACCACGGACCAGGTCCCGCGGCAGAAGTACGGCGGCATGTTCTGCAACGTGGAGGGCGCCTTCGAGAGCAAGACGCTGGATTTCGATGCCCTGAGCGTGGGGCAGCGGGGCGCGAAGACTCCCCGGAGCAGCCAGGGCAGCGGCCGCGGCTCGGGGAGCAGAGCCGGACTCGAGGCGGACACCCCGCGCAGGGGCCAAGGCCGGGAGGAGAGCAGGGAGCCGGCGCCCGCGTCGCCCGCGCCCGCCGGGGTGGAGATCCGGAGCGCCACGGGCAAGGAGGTTTTGCAGAACCTCGGCCCCAAGGACAAGGTAAGGAGGCCCGGGTCTCTTCTCCTCCTGCCCTCGTCCCTTCTCAGCCCGGAGTGCCGTGGCCCGGGCACAACTTTCTCCCGCTCACTTTGCACGGGGATGGGGGACTAGGAGGAGGAAAAGGGCATCTTCTGCTGAGCGTAGCGTGACCTCCTAGCCTGGGCCTGGGTTCGCGCATGTGCCCAATTGCAGCATCTTGGTGCGCCCCGGACCAGGGTGCGCGGGGCCGCCTGCCTCCCTGCCGCACCTCTGGGCCATCGGTTCTGGGTGGGTGTGTCAGCCCGGCCAGCCCGGGAAGGCTTAATGATTTCCAGCCCTTCACTCCGTCTGAGTAACCACCAGCACAATTGTCTTGGCCCCCACGCTGGCCCTAGATTAAATCTCAACCCAGGTCACCAGGGCAGAGGGCAAACTGGTGCTGGGAAAATGGGGTCATCTCCATAGTGCCCGGATGAAAGGACAGGATGGGCGGTCTCCTCTTTCACTCTTCAAACACCAGCTCTGTCCCTGAAACTTTTGGGTGTGGAGCCACTAGACTAAACACCCGAATCTCCGTGCCTCGCTTCTGTCCCGGATCAACATTTCACATCTGTGTTTGTAAAGAGTATATTTGTGTACGTAGCTTGGCACAAGACTGGGTACCACAGGGATCCAGCTGTCTCTGGAAGAATACCATTGTATTTTTGAAAATAGGCGAGAGTGTGGAGTGCACATTAAACTAGCACGAACTGCAAATTCCCTGCTATTCTTACATGTACTAAAGCCAATTTCTCCTGCATGTGTATTTTTGAGAAACTCATGTCACACTGAACTGACTGAAGGTATGATGTTGAAATCCAGCTTGCCCTGATTTGTTTATTTCATAGAAAATCAAAACTGTAGTTCAGAAAATTCAGGGCCTGGGCAGGGCTGGATTATTCAAAGTTCAAACTGACACTTTTGAGTTGGGGAACAATACTCATCAGATACATCTCCCTTGTCTAGATAATGGCTGCAAAATCCATCCACGTGTATTATTCTGCACTAATACAGTTAGGAATAATAACCTGAAATGGAAATGTCTGCCTCAGAGCAATTACAGTTAATGCTCACCGAAGTTTTAGATATTTTCTATGAAAATGCAGCGAGCCACTGAGAGGACAGCACATTTCTCCACCGTTTGATTTTTGGAAGTTTAACAACCAACCTCTAATTATTGATACCACCAGGGAAAAGAAAGTACTGAAGTTAGTGCTGTTTAAAGATGCCATTGGGAAACAATGTCAGTATCCCTTGGAATCACTCATTTAGTTTGTGATTTTCACATCATCCTTAGAATGTGGGATTCCTCTAGGCCCTGCTCACATACCCTTTTAGGAAATATTCTGATATTTTGGAAAGGCTTTAGCTGATTTCTAAACTGCAGAATGGCCCGTAGAAAGTTTATTGCCTCTCTTCAAGTCTTACTTGATCATTATTGAAGTGTTCCCTTCCTGACTCTAAGGGGTGGGAGAAGTGATGGAAAAGGTCGGTAACAATTGCTATGAGTCAGTGCTATTCCCTTTGCTGGAACACCCCTGATGTAAGCCAGATAATATGCCTGGTTTGCAAGATTTAAGAATGGTAACTAGAGAAAAGGAAAATGTTCCTCCTTTAAACCCAGCAATTCTCTCGTTTTCCTTCCTTTTGCAAACCCTGTACTTTTGGCTCCTAATTGAAAAATAATAATACAACCTAAGCATCAGCAGGATTTCTAGTGCTACATGGTTATTTGTAAGTTCAGGCTTGCTGTCAGCTTCATCCAGGCCATGTTATTATCTCTAATTTGGTTGAATCACATTGTTAGAACAGACGCAGAGGTTATCTACTTCTGTACTTCAAGATTATTTCCTTGAGGATAGGGATTGTGTGCTTGGATTTATCTTTGTGGCTGAAATGCCTGGCACATTGGAGGTGCTCAATAAATGTTTAATACATTTGATACAAGCCTCCTTAATTAAGCCATCTCTTGCTACATAGATGCAGAATGATCAACTGGCCTCTGTTTAAATACTGCCGTTTTCAGGGAGCTCGCTACTACATGAAGCAACTTTTGGACTTTTAAAAACTTAAAAAAAAACTAAATTAAGCCCAAATCTGCCTATGTGTAGTTTCTACAAACTATTCTTAGTTCTGACCTCTGGAAATATTAGAATAACTATGTTTCCTTATTCTGAGGTATTTTAATGATTTTAAGCGTGTAGGCTTGTGTATCTGTCAGAAAAGGCTGGGTGATGCCACAGTAACAAACAGTCCCCAAATCTCAGTGGCTTAATCAAACAGTAACAGTTTATTTTTTGTTCCTGCTACTTGTCCAACATGGGTCAGCAGGGCAGCTCTGTTCCTCATTGCCCCTCAGAGACCTGGATTGATGGAGGCTCCATGTCCACACATCCATGGCAGGACTAGCGTGTGGCAAATTGCTCACAGACTCTTAAACTTCCACACTGAAGTTACAAACATGACTTATGCTCACATTTCATTGGCCAGAGCAAATCATTAGTCTGTGTCCAACTTCAAAAGAATTAGGAGAGTGTAATCTTACCGTGATCCTATAAGACAGAGATTAGAAATATTTGGAAAATAGCTTGAATATCTCTCCCAGATCTGGGATGGACTACTGGGGTGAAAACTGGCTTAACTCTTACAAATTACATGACGATAAGCATGTAACTCATCCTCTGTGCCTCAGTTTTCTCATCTGCAAAATGTGGATTACACGGACTACTTTGCACATTATAAGTACTCAATACATATTAATTACTATCACTCTTTGATTTTTCCTGTCCTTCATATGTTTGAGGGTAATCATCGTATTCTCCCTAAAATTCTCTTTTTTAGCTTTGTTGTTCCTAGCTTCTTCAGCTCTCCCTTCTAGGAGTCTTTCACCATTCTGATTTCCTTTTCAGGTTATACTGTATTTTGTAAATATTCTTCCAAAAATACAATGCCCAGAACTGAACACAGTGCTCCAGATGGGATATAGCCATGACAGTCCATTAGGCTAGTTAATTTCCTTGATTTATGCACAGCATATGCTTCTGTAGTACAAGATTACACCTGATAATTCAGTAGCCATGTCTTACGATTGTCTCCATAGTAAACTCCATGTCATTCAAGCCTTTAGAAACTTTTCCCCATAAGCCAGGCTGTCTCTGTTCTATGATGGTACAATTGAACTTAAAACAAAACCAAAAAGAAAAAATGCTTTAACTGTAGGATTTTATTTCTCTTCTCTAGAGTATTCATCACCATCTTAGCTCATCTCTCTATTGTATCATGATAATTTTGAACCTTAACTCTGTGATATAGCATCCCTACCCACAGCTTTGAACCATCTGCAAATTTGATAAGTACCTCTTTTTGAGCAGTATTTTTGTGCCTGACACACACACACACACACACACACATATATATATTATTTTTTCTTTCATTTTTTTGTTACAGAAAATGACTTTACAGATAAGGAAATTAAAACCCAGAGAATCTACGTGTTTAGTCCGAAATCATATAGATAATAAGTGGGGAGCCAGAATTCAAACTGATTTTTCTGATTGTAGAGTCCATCCTCTTTCCAGACTGGAGGCTGCTTCTTTATTTTAATTCAATGAGCCTGACCATTGTGTCTGTCCCTGACATGTTACTATAATGAAGGGCAAGGATAGATATTCCCGCCACACTCCTAGAAAACTTCCTCTATCTTGCCGCCAGCCCATTATTCAGGACGCTTAGAGATCAGTTGCTCAGCCTTTGAGAACAGTTGCTGCAAAATCCTTATTCTTCCAAGTTAATTCTGAAGCTATCGAAAGATTTTTTACAAAATGTCTTGATAAAAGAAAAATATGCTTTGTCTCTGGCCTACCTAATTATTAACTCCTACCTTAAGGAAATGAGTTTAGTTAATAAATGAATAAATTATGAAGAAGTTAAATAACAAAAGTATTTGGCAGAATAAAAATATAAAAAAAAAATCACTGAGTTATACTCGGAATGCGAAATTCCAGGTTTGAAGTATCACTGGGTGTTTATATTGTGGTTCTGGATCTACCTGTAAACCTTAGTTAAATTATATTTAGATTTTTTTCTCATGATAGGCATTCATATTGCCAAAATCCTCCACACAACTTTTTGTTTATAATTTTTGTCAAGTATGTAAAAAAGCAATTCTAAGTGAAAAGTAAATATTTTTCACCATTTCTCAAGGTTTCCATGCATGCAGAATTTTCCTAGCAGTGAAAAAATCACTAAAAGGAGGAGAATTATGATATATGGTCTGCCAAGAGCAAATGATACTGCAAAGACTCTGTCATCCAGTGAAAACAAAGTAATGACATGATTACATGGGTTTGTTGATAACTCCCTTTCAGGAGCCCTGGGTCATTTCTAGTTCCCTGCCTCCCACATGGGCCACTTTTGTGCAAGATGTTTCCTTTGTGAAGTTCGCAGGGGTTCTGGGTCTAGGAGGAGAGAATTTGAAACAAATGAGATGTGGCTCTTACCTTTTTACCGTTTGCCATTTGCCATTTTTTGTCCTGGGCGAAAAATTTTCAACATGATTCTGAGAAATTGAAGTTCTCCTCCTTACCTTGCACAAGGGAAGACAGCTGGAAATAGAATTCTGAGTTTATAAAGGCCTCTCGAGTCATCAGAATCCAGACCCTGGAGTGTAAATGAATTTTACAAGGCTGCTCTGACAAATGAAAGTTTGCACTTAGGCTAGGAAAAAAGGCTTTGCTTACCTGACCTTCAGGCCACACTTGAATCTGGGAGTATATTCACTTACCCAAACTTGGAAGTGTTTGAAACCTTTCAGAACTTTGGTTTAGTTTGACAGTAGGCATTTGAGGAACATAAAAAGGTGCCTTCTAAGTAATGCTGCGATTGGCAGAGTTCCCTCAAAGTAATGGTCCCTGGAGACGGGGTTTTGCTGACGGCTCTTGTAAGTAATGCTGTAGATGGCCAGAGCGCTGTCTGTGATGCTT